GCTGGCTTGAAGAAACTCATACTGATAACCTGTTTCTAACAAAAGAGCAACAAAACGTAATTCTGCACTACAAAAAGTAGAATAGGTTGTGCCATTCCTTCATCTTAAGATTTTCTCAGAGCACTGTGGAATTAGTTAATTTTTCTTATCATAAAGAATGGTACTGTTAGGAAAAAACGCTTCAAGGAACAGCCATTATTTAGGGCTGTTCCTGGATTTCACAAGCTAAATTCTTGTCTTTTTTTACTTTTGTTTTCGGTCTCTGTTTTGACTCTATCCTAATTCATATACTCGGATAGTAACTCAAGAGAAGGGAAAAAATAGTAGTGCCATGTTCTTTTGGATAAAACGTTAGTGCCTGAAGTTCTGTATCCGCTTCCAGAGCGGACGTCCTGATCAGTGTTGGCACTTCCAGATTTTGAAGCCTGTCTGCACTGTGCAGATAGAATTAAGAATGGAGGTTGGGGAACAAATTGTTAGAGGAACAGGAGCAAAGTCAGCGAAAGAGCAATTTGCCTCCTGGGAAGGGAAGAGAATAAGAGAAGTGAAACGGTATTCAAATTGTTAGTTCTTTTTAAGGGCAGCAATCTGTCAAACCTCGGGTCTGGATGTCCTAAGCTGTGTGCCCTTGGGATAGAGAAGGCGAAGGAGGAGTCCTGGGTGCTTATGCTGGCATTTTAATACAAATGCGTTGTGGTGCAGGAAGAGAGACTTGGTTTCTCTGCACCAGAGGTGAAAGAGGCTATTGTGGGTGAAAGCAGAGGAAGCTCCACCAGAGTCTTCCTCTGGAAGACCTACCAGAGTGCCTTTGCCTACTGGCGACACAAACAAATAAATAAATAAGAGCAACTTTGTGGTGGGGACGAAGACGTAAACTTATTTTTTTGTTTTTTTTGTGTGTTTTTTAACTGCGTAACAATTGAAGAGTAATGTAGAAAGAAGGGAAAAACAAAAACATTGCGCTCAGAAACAATAAGAAAAACATGTTCTGCACTTGAAAACAGCGCTGAGCAGAGCATGTCCTGTAATAGGAAACAAATTGGCACAAACTGTGGAAGGAAAAAAAAGTTCCAGCAGAAGCAGAGGAGACGCTCCCGCATCTCTAGCCGTGCTGCTTCCTCGAGCACCGCGTGCGGCGAGGAGCGCGCGGGTTGCGCCTGCCCTGCTAAAACAGGCCGCGGCTTTCGGGCCGCCTCCGAGCCAGGCACAGCGTTCCGAGCTTCTCCCCCTGAGCTTCTAGGCCTAGCGTTGGCAGCAGCTCGCAGGGGAGCTTTTTCTTTCTCTGCCTCGAAAATGTAGCTTGGAAGAATTCCGCTGTGTGATGCAGAGTCACCATCACGACAGTGTAATTGCTCGTGAAATGTTCTTTAGCTGTAACGAGCACTTAGCTGCTGCGCTGATCGCTGCTGTGCAGTCTCTGAAGTGGTGTAGCTGTGCTCGCCGTGCTCTGCAGGCTGTCCAATCTATACATCTAAACCCAGATAGAAACAGTAACTTCAGTTACAGCGACAGTGCGAGTGATTCATATAGGTGAACGAGGAAAGTGTTTCCGAATGGTCACCCCAAAGCTGGCACCTCATGTTCCCCTCTCCTGGGGGCTTCTGTGGGGGCGCTGCGTTATTGCAGAGGGCTGTTTTAGGGGCCTCGGGAAGGGCCCGTGTGCGGTCATGGCCACCTGTGCCTCCTGTCACGCCGCACGTTCCGAGCGCAGCTCCCGGCTGTGTTTCAACGCGCGGCTGCCCGGCTCGTGCTGGGTAACGCGTCGGCCGGCCACGTGTTTGAAGGTCAGACGTCCTGCGTTGCCTGGGACCTCGATTAAACTGTTTTAAAAGTGTGCTTTCCAAAGGTAAATATAAATGCCAGGAATATTTTTGTAGGATTTGGTCTTAGATTAATAAATTATTGACTGTGTTGAATAATTTTTGGTTACTTATTGATGGCCCCTCAGGATTTTAGCAAAACATGAACGATATATTTATGTATTCTGTCGTCAGTTCTGTAAATTCTTAAAGGTTCAGAGAAAGGGCTAGTTCCTGAGACGTCTCGTGTTCCCGGTGAGCCGACTTTCACAAATAGGGATACAGCTGTGCACTGCTTTGGCTCAAGAATCTAAAGGGAAAAAAAAAAAGGACTAAAACAAAACAACCCAAAACTCGGAGCTGGTTCCCTGATCACCGTAATCCAGTTTAAGTGCAGGGCTGCCAAAAGGAGCACCCTGCCCGCGTGCGCCTGCGTTGCGGTGCCCGAGGCAGCCCCGGGGTTGCAGCCCCGATCTCCGCGTGCAAGAGGCACCAAGGGGCCCGCAAGCAGATGCTCTTTGTAGCGCTGGCTGCTGTGTTTATGTTCAGTGGTTCTTGCACTGCTGTTCTTGAGCTCTGCCACAGATCTCTCAGTTCTTCCAGACTTGCATTCGTTACAGATCTGTAACATCTGTACTGTTCTGGTCTAATTCCGTCCTGAGCTAACGCTGCCAATAACGATGAATCGTGTCAAAAACAGGACTTCCAGCTGGGAGGTCTATGAAGTTACTTTCCTTTGCAACTGGTTCAGATTTTGCATCAGCGTTTCCATAAGTGTGGTTGACGGGTGCTATACCTCTTAATTTACCAGTTTGTGAAAAAACATTCATAAATGGGGGTAGACATTGAGTGTCTCTAAAGAACCAGCGTGTTTTATCTTGCGTCTTCCACGTTTTTCCTCCACAGAGATACCAATAAAAACCTTATCTTGTCGAACACTGGCATTGATCCTAATGAGATTCAAATAACATTTAAATATTAATGCTAGGAAATGTCAAGGCTAAAGAACGCTAAAGGGATTTGAGGAAAACCAGATTATCAGATATTCTTCTTTGAACGGACATGTCCGGTCATTCTGAGCTGCTGCTTTAAGTTTATAGCTAAAGGCTACTTCAGTCTTCAAGCTAGTAAAAACTTATCAAACCTTAATTGTCTCTTTTGAGGGTTTGTGAGCGATCCAAAAGGTTCCTGCTCCCGCAGTTTGGAAGTGTTGGTCAGTTGTTGACATCGGTGGCGGCGCAGGTCGAGTCTCACGGTCCGTTCCCCGTTGCGTGCGAAGGTCAGTGCAGTTGCCCGAGGTGCGTGTTCCAGCCAAAACGCAGCGCAGAAGGCCAGAACGGCCACTAAAGGAGCAGACACATCAGCCTTGCCCGAGTGGCCGCAGTGGCCGCCGAGGTCGCCCGTCCGCGCGGGTGCAGCTGCTGCAGGCGCCAGGAAGTAGCAGCTCTTGTATACGGAAAGTCAGCGGTCCTCAGCCCCGCATGCAAAGCAGCTCCTAGTTGTGCTTCGTGTTAAAGGTGACAGCCCCTTTTCCTCGCACTGCGAGAATCAAGGATCCGCACTGGTTACTTGTTTTATAGAACAGCCCCTTTCTGCTAGATCAGGCCGGGTTTTGACGTGAATTTCTCATATATGCAAAGTTTAACAGCGCAGGCAGAGCTAGTCTGGGTGCTGCTCGTGGGTGCTGTGGGAAGGCAGGGCCCATTCTTGGGGCGCGTGTCCTCAGCACCCAACCTTCACAGCAAGTGTCACTTCAGCACAGGTAGAAGGAGTTCCTGAGAAGTTTCAGGGCAGAAGAAAAATTTCCTCAGAAAGGACTGGCTTCTGTTTGACACAAACCCTGACGGGACTGGCGTTGTTCAGCGTTGCTGGCAGGGTTTTACCCAGAACGCTGACTAGTGCGGAACTGGACTTGCAGTTTCTGTTTCCTTGCTATTTTAACTGATACTTGAAAACTAGTACGTTTTGATAAGTTTTGTTGTTGTCATTGTTTTCATAGTCTCTGTTTTACCTCGGTCTCAAGGTATTCATGCCGAATATAACCAAATAGAAGAGGTGCTTGTCAGAAAGCTGGGCTAAGCAGCTGCCGGGTGCCTGTGGCGGGGGGGCTGCAGGCGCCCCCGCTGCAGGAGGGAGCTTTTCCCGGGCCGCTCGCCCTCCAGGGCAGGAGAGGCAGCGCGGCCCGTACAGCGGCCTCAGGGGCTCGGGTTTGATACGACGGACAAGTGGGTTATTTTCGGTATCACACTTTGTGCTTTTCACTTCCTGTCGCTTATGAGCGTCTTGGTCATTCGTGTCCAGCAGAGCTGTGGTTGCTGCTGTTTGTGCTAGGACAGCGGCTGTTCTGCACTTCGGTTGTGCTGTGTCAAATGCAAGATTAAGCGGTATATGGGGCTCCGAAAGTCTTCCAGTCTACTTCCAAAGTAGCAATGGGTCTGTAGAAGCTACTGAACTGATACATCGGTCTAATTTGCCTCAGTAATTTCAATGCATCCAGGTTAGCCTGTGCCTTACTTGACATTAACAGAAGAATTAATAGAGAACTTTTATTGGGCGCCTCTTGAGTTTGGCAGAGTTTTTAGTTCCTCCCATTAGGGAGGCGTTTCCTTCCCCCGTGCCCGGCGGTGAGCACGGTGCTGAGATCCCTTTACCACTAGATGCTGCTGTGCGAGTGAGGGATAGAACCTCATCTGCGCCTCACTGGCTTGAGCTCTAAGGAAAGGAGGCGGCATCGCTGAAGCAGCATTGCTGCCTGTTCTGAAATTAATATTTGAGACATTTGTTTGAGATATTTTTAGAGTTTATTGGCTCTGTTACATTAGTCACAAAGACTGTTTCTCTTTTGTGCTCAGCCGTATGCTAGTCATTTTTCCAATTATGCAGAGTTTTCATATGTCTACAGATCTGGGAACTAGACTCCCATCTGTCTATAGTCTAGGTAGTGAGGAAGAAAGACGACGAAATGTAGCTCAGACAACTGAAAAGGTTTGCACAGGAACTCTCTTCTGTAGTATCTATAACTTTTCACTGGATGTCGGATGGCAGTGGATGAAAATCATTATAGGTTCCAGCATGAGGTATATGCAGTTTTCAAGAGAAAATTTTGTCCTTACTTCATTTTGGTTGTTTCTTTTTTAAGCCCTACCTTTTTGATGACGGGATACTTACCTGCTGGGGGGGTTGCTATGCTTATTTTATACAGAAGTCTACAAGTAGAAGAGCTCCGTGTTGGTGAACCGAAGTTATCCTAGGGAAAAAATCATTGCATGGATTGTATAAATTCATTGAGACTGAATTAAAGCTGGAAAGGAATCTACAAGTGAATAAAACAAGAAGTTTGGAGTTGGATTTGGGGAATCTGGGCTTGGAGATGCCTCAGGTAAGTCTCATGTCTTATGATCTTACTTGCTTCTGTAAGTAATTTTGCTCTCTGAATAAAAATAAAGAAAGGGTAAGAGCATATTTGGCTGGCATCAACAGGGAGAATTTAGAAGAGAATAAGTGATGTCCTGGTGGTACCTAGGGTGAATCTGTGTTGCTGCTCCTGTCATTCTGTTTGTTTGCACAGTAGAATTCAGCAAAGTTGTTGTCTTGATCAGGGTGGATGCCTGGAAAAGAGCCTTTTATTACTGCAGTGATTCAGAGGCAGCGCGCAGACTGAATGAGCAGTGCAGTGTTTCTGCCTTCCCAGCCCTCAGGGCAAGTGTGTCTGGAAGGGAAATGAAGCTCTGAAATTGGAAGTAGCAGAAAGCCTGGCAGCCTGTTCCCTGTGCATCCAGTTGTGCTGCATAATGTTTCTTTGCAAAGTTCCACTTAGTTTTCAAGCAATGTAAAACAACTTAGTTATAGCTAATAATTTTGCTATAGTTACACACTCAGAAAAAGGTTTTACAAATTCTAATAGTTCTGAGAGCAGCCAACACTGCTTATTGTATATGAGGATGAAGGCCCTGGAAGCGTGTGGTGCCTCCTGATACTCCCAGGTCTTGCCAGTACTCACCGCTGCCTTCTACAGTGCTGACATACCCTGTGACTTGCCAAACACATGACAATTTTAAACCGACAAAAAGGAGTGAATGAGCAATGCTCTTGAAGTTACATGATGAATACAAATGTGTCCTTTGTGATTGAAGTGCTGACTGTGCCTAGCTGGCTCTCAAAGCATATTCTCTCACTCTGAGAAATGACATGCTTATCTGCACAGGTAAAAGCACTCCAAGTGCAAGCGTGGCTTCAGAGAGCTGAATGAAATGGCAATCTTTTATGTTCTGCTTAAGTGAAGAATAGGCCTTTTTATAGCTTGTGTCAAAATTCAGTATCAATTTTATTGTAGCCCAGTGTGAGCGGAATGGACCCTCCTTTTGGGGACGCCTTTCGGAGCCATGTGTTTTCAGAGCAGACTCTGATGAGCACAGATCTCCTGGCAAGCAGTTCAGATCCGGACTTCATGTATGAACTGGTAGGTCACCTGTGTGTGCAAGTGTGTTCATGTGCACATATAACTCCCTGATCTTGATTAACGACCTGAATTCATGTAATAATAAAGAATATCTGTTCCAGAATGATAGATGATGGCTTGTTAGTGCTTGTTGCTCATCAGGGAAGAGCATAACTGCTTGTCCAGTGCTTCATCAATAGATGTGCGTTTGAGCTGGGCAATAGGAAAGGCTTGACTTGATAGATGATGGCTTGTTAGTGCTTGTGGCTCATCAGGGAAGAGTATAACTGCTTGTCCAGTAAATGCTTCATCAATAGATGTGCGTTTAAGCTGGGCAATAGGAAAGGCTTGACATACAACTCTCAGACTAGAGCTGTGTTGATTCTATTTAACGGAGCTTGAGACACTTAGTTGCAAAAATGTCTTTTTGCAAGGGCAGCTAACGCTACTTCAGCCAAGCTGTGAATGCAAGAAAGGCAATACAAAAGTTGACTTGTGAGTTACTTGCGTTAGCATTCCTTTGTTTTCCCTGTGTAAAAGGAGAAAGTAAGCTCATGCTCGTTAACCCATCTGCCTCGAATGAGGCTTTCCAGGGACTGGTAAAGCTGATCATATTCTGTTTCTCACGCAGGAAAGCTCAACTTAGGTTAGTGGAGGTGAGAATGGTTTGCCTTTGTCTTTCATGTTTGAAATGCATGGAAGTTGGTCCTAGTTTAGTGCCTAGTGATTAGGTAAATCTGTAATAACAGAAGGAAAATCATCAGCCCTTGACTGGTGTCTTTATCTGCGTCTTCAGAAGGATCTGTAGCTGGAACATGAAAATTAGATTTCAGTTGGACTGTTGGAACAAAATTGTAGTCTCATACTTCATTGCAATTAAGTTTACCATTTAGGCAGAGAACAGAGATGAGTTTTTAATATTAATTTTTGACTTGTCTTACTGTACCCAGGACAGAGAAATGGACTATCAACAAAGCTCCAGAGACAACTTACTTTCCATGGAGGACTGCAAAGATCTTGAGAGCTTGGAGTCTTTTACGGATATCCTGGACAAAGAAGCTGCTCTCACCTCCAAGTGGGAGCAGTGGGATACGTACTGTGAAGACTTAACTAAGTACACTAAGCTAACTAGTTGTGATATCTGGGGAACAAAAGAGGTGGATTATCTGGGCCTTGATGACTTTTCAAGCCCATATCAAGATGAAGAAGTGATCAGCAAAACGCCAACTCTGGCTCAGCTTAACAGTGAGGACTCCCAGCCTGTTTCAGATTCACTCTATTACCCCGATTCACTCTTTAGCGTAAAGCAAAACCCTTTAAATTCTCTGTTATCTGGCAAAAAAATTGCAAGCAGAGCTGCAGCCCCAGTCTGTTCCTCCAAGAACGTTCAGGCTGAGGCCCCTTTGTTGGACTGTGTTCAGAAGGCGAGCAAAGCTGCGAGCCAGCCTGCCTCCAGCACACAAATCATGGTGAAGAGCGGCGTCTACAGCAGCGACAAGGTGAACGTTCATGTGGAATGTAAGGACTATGTTAAAAAGGCGAAAGTAAAGATTAATCCTTTACCACAGAGCAGACCCGTGCTGAGCCAGACACATGTGGATGCAGCAAAGGAAAACACCTGCTATTGTGGTGCTGTAGTAAAGAGACAAGAAAGAAAAGGAATAGAGTCCCCACACAGTCACAGTACTCCGAATGTTTTGCCTTTTAAAGAAACTCAAGAGCTGCTCGTCAGCCCACCCCAAGAAACCGCAGGACTCGCTGTAGGAGAGAGCAGTCTTTCTGCCAGCACGTCAGTGTCAGATTCTTCACAGAAGAAAGAGGAGCACAACTATTCTCTTTTTGTCACAGACAGTTTGGGTGAGCAGTCAACCAAGGGAGACCCTGAAGAAGATGAGGAGGATGAGGAGGATATTGAAGATGAGGACCACGATGAGGGATTTGGTAGTGAGCATGAGCTGTCTGAAAATGATGATGAGGAAGAAGATTATGAAGATGATAAAGATGATGACATCAGTGATACTTTCTCAGAACCAGGTACCAGCAATGTTGGGGTTTGTTAAGGTTAATAAATCTATGTCTGCTCAGTGGAAAAATGCTTTGGAATGTTTTATATTACAGGTGAACCACCTGGTCTTAAGGTACCAGCTTTCATTCTAGACTTACAGAGTGCTTTGTAAAATGTAATTAATGAAAGCTTTGCAAGATAAGTGTTTGCCCTGTTTCTAGCAAAACTAGATAAACTGTGGTCATAAAACAAAAGCGATAATAGAGATTATAGAAATCTTGTGGCCCAAGGTCATTAAAGCAAATACCTGCAACTGTTGTCTACTCTTTGGTGGGTTGATGATAGGATATGCAGAACTTTCTAGTGCTTTAGTAGGCTGCTGCCTTGAATGTATTCAGAGTTGTGACTCTTAATAGCTGTTATGAAGTCATAGCCTAGGTAAAATAATTCCGTAATTTATGTAAGTCCTACTGCACATATGATTTTCTACAGAATCTAAAGAATACATGTCACTGAAACTAGTGGAATGATTTCTTGGTGGTTTTCAGCAGTATTACTAAGTGAGTCTGCTAAGGATACTATTTCTTTTCCCTATTCTGAATTTTCCTATTCTGAATGTAGAAAAGGAGCATTAACAACAGAAATAAGAGCTAACCTTCACCCAGAAAGTAGCAAGGCATTCTGTAAAAACAAAATCTATGGAGGGAAAGGGACAGGACTGTACCCAAGCATTAGTTTAATTATAGAGGATATAATATTCACATTTTATAAACGCTCTCTAGTAGAGTAGAAGAATTAAGGTATTCAAGCATTTGGTAATGCATAACTTTCAGGGTGAAAAAAAGGCAGTTTAAATTTTCCCTTTTTCAAAGAGCAGCTTCTCTAAGGCACATTGATATTTGTCATGTTGAACGCTTAAGATCAGATTTTTTATTTTATAAAGGAGATTTCCTGAGTAGGCATTAAACTTGTTAAGTGTTTAATGTCCCTCATGTTACTTTTATGTGTGCCTAACGTATTTTACTAGCATTTAAAAATCTTTTCCTCTCTTCTGCATTGAGCTCCCTGTACATATTCTTACATGAGCCTTTGAGTCGCTATTGCAGCTCTCTAATAAAACACAGTTGCTGACCTACACAGTGCCCTGCAGCCCGCAGAGCCACGGAAAGGCTGGGAACCTTGAAAAAGAGACATCCTATTAAAGTGGTGGGGTTTCAGTTCGTGGAATTGTATTAACTATTTGCAGGCTTTGACATTTTACTGCCGAGCAATCACTCCCAGCACCGAAATGCCCCAGCGTGGTGCAGTGCAGTAATGAGGAGCGTGAGCAGCACAAGCTGGCGAGAGCTTTGGCGAATGAAGCCATTCACCTGAGTGTGGTGATACTAAAAGATGGTTTCACTGAATGCTTTTATCTATTAGAAAATAGCGTCTCCAAGGATTGTAATTACACTGCACCAGAACTTTGTTTTGCTCTTGGTATCTTTCAGAGTTGAGGTGAATATTAGGGAAATATGTTCCAAAAATAAAGGTGGCATTGGAGGATTTAACCTTCTGTGGTACTGAAACCAAACTCAGTTCAAAAATTTAAAGTGAAGAGATATTTTATTAAAAGGACAAAGACTTACTCAGTCATAATCAAAATATGTATTGATGTACATATTTTATACATAGTTTGCTTTTGTTTACTCTTCTTTGCGTGTTTTTGAGAGTACATGAAACACTGCTTCACCAAAGGCAATTTGCTCTCTGTAACTGCTGTTTAAAGAGCTGTATAGGGCTGTACATGAGCCCCCCTTTTGGCACTGAATTTCTGTAGCAAGTGTGTGTGTAACTAGTTATTGGCCAAGTTTGGGCAGCATTTCTTTTATTATCATGATAAACGACACAGATGTCATGATTTTCATCCCTTTAACTGCAAGAGAATTTGTTTTTCAGTAAGCATGTTTTATTGTTCAATTCTGTTCTGTTCATTTGGGTTAAAATATCTTTTTAATATACAAATTAATGAATCTAAGTGAAGATATTGATGTAATGATTAGAAATAGAGCTTTAGAATGTGTTTCATCCTTCTGTACCTAACTTTTATTCCTAACTTTGGAGTGTGAGGTGAGGGAGAGCCAGACCCAAACAAGAAAGTTTGTTTTTCCTCTTTCAACTTGTTGCTCGAGCGCAAACAGACTAATGGCATGGGAGGGGATGAAGAATGTGTTTCTTTGTGCTGCTGGGGAAAGGCGATGCAGAGCTTCGCACGTGGGGCCAAGGCTTGTTAAGCTGCAGCCCATGTAGAGGTTGGGCTTGCTGTAAGCTTCTGGAGTGTGGGTGTTGTTTTGAAATACGTTATTTTTTATTAAATGTAACATGTTATATACAGTATTTCAGCACAAAAGGCAGTGTAGTAGTTTTTTCCCTTAATACAGATTATCTTAATTTCTTTTTATAACGCATATGTAAGAATTAGCAGGAGGGAAAGGGTTTCCTTAAATGTGGTTTAAACATTTTGTTGCAATTTGCATAGTGGCCTTCTAGTTTCAATGTATTTCAAGAACAGTTAAACCAAGTACATCAGAATGTAACTCAAAAATCCTGTGCATTTTTACTGTAGATTATTTCTTTTCATCCCACTAAAGGAGGAAAGAGGAAAGAGATGAAGCAGTTGGTGTCCCTTTGGTTTATATGTTCTTTACTTACAAACTTTAGTGCATAGTCCCGATAGCAGAGCCTCCTCTGCTGGGACTTGGTCGTCTTTAGTATATAATAGAGATGGATAGTTAGGCTTATTTCCCAAAGCTCTTTAAATGCAAGATGCAGCAATAATTTTGCTTTTTTTTATGAGTCTTTTGCTAATCCATCTTTATTTCGATTATCCTTTTCTGTTTGTGCACATTTTGATTGAAGGCTAATTAAAGGTGTGGAGGAGAGTTAGGATTATCTTCCTGCCAATTAAAGGAAGAAATGGTGAAGGTGGAAGAACCCTGTCAACAGCTGCTATCTCTCTTCCACAGTAGTGAGATTGTGGGGGAGAAAAGCAATGGCTCTTAAGGGCTCAAACAACAGAAAGGGGCTTTCAATGCATAAATAATTTGTCTCCATTCAGCAAATGAAGAACCATTGCTGGCTGAATGTCTATTCCTGTACTTAAAGCAAATACTTGGTAACAGTTGAGGCTAAATCTGAGTCCATAAGATAATGTGAAACAGGCCATTGTCTTGTCTTTTTGCTCTTAATTTCTTAAAAACTCAGCCCATAATTAAAAGGTTAGAAACAGTCTTGTAAACATTAAAAAAATACAATACAATGCATTCTTTTAGGATATGAAAATGATTCTGTGGAGGATTTAAAAGAAATGACTGCAATATCCTGTCGGAAAAGAGGCAAACGAAGATACTTTTGGGAGTACAGTGAGCAACTAACACCATCGCAGCAAGAGAGAATGCTGAGGCCGTCCGAGTGGGATCGGGACACGCTACCAAGCAACATGTATCAGAAGAACGGTCTCCACCATGGTAAGGACAGAGTCCAGGTTACAAGTGGGTGTCTTCACTGAAGGCTGGTGCCTGTGTAGCCAAATTGCCACACCTGACGCTGCTGAGAAGTTGTGTTTTGGCCATGCAAATAAATCCTTAAACCGCTGACAACTCCACTGCTCTGTTAGGAGTGTGGCTCTGCGGCCAAGGAAGGCACAGGGACACCCGTCCGTGTGGCTCCTTCAGAGGAAGGGGGATGAACTGAGGATTGTGACTGCCAAGGTTCTTGCTGGGAGCCCCAAGGGAATTTATTTTTATAGTTTTGCTACCCTAAACATCATGGGAGGGTCACGCGACTGATATTTGCTCTTGGAAGCTGTTAGATGGTTTCAGCACTGTTTTTATTAGAAATAAGCTGCCAGTGATCTCATACGCCAAGTTCACTTTATCTGCAATACGAAGCGAAGGACGGGCAGTGAGACATAACTGCTTTCTTCTGCTCATGCCTACTTATTCCTCTCACCAATGCAAATGCAACTCAGAGAAGCACTTCCTCTTCTGTGAATAAACCATTTCTTTTAAATACCCTCTTAGGAGCTTAAACCTATTGATCTAGTAACTCTGTTTTATCATTATAACTTTTGATGGCCAGCCTTGCTGTAGCTGCAGCCATTGAGAAGAAGCCGCTCACAGGAATTATGCTTGTTTTCTTGTTTCTTTTCCATTGAAGTATCTGTAATAGTTGGCATTTTTTCAGTGAAGATCCAGGCAGCAACATGGACCAGTGGCAGAATATCGTAAAGAATACAATTGTCTCCAGAATATACGTGTCTCCTCAGGAAATCTAGGCCCAAAATAGCTTCAAATACAATTAAATAGGTTTGGTTAGCCCTTACTTGGGTTACTTAAGATTATTATCTCTGAAGGTCATTGCAGTGGCTGGTCTTTATATGCTTTCTTAATGAAGAGTTTTAGGAAGGAAGATTATTTAGAAATTTAAACAACTTGTGTGAGAGAGAATTTACTGTCTGAACACTGTTAGCAAGTTAGGGTCGGGACAAAACAACTGTGTTTGAACTTACGACATACCTCTTTTTCAGCACTGTTGTGTGCATAGTTCATCACTTTGAATTCATTTCTCTCCTGGCCAGCAGTATTTGCTCTTATCTGATCTGGATATAACATGAATTGTATGAAGTTGTTTGTCTAGAAATGCTACTGTGAAAGGCATAGGGATCACACAATTCAATTCTGTTGCTCTGTGATGAACAAAGGAACCTACACTAAAATATAATACGTATTTAAGAATGTTTTTTAGGAGTTTTGTCTACCCGTTCTGTTACTTTCCAACCCAATTTTCTGCATATTCAAAACAGGAAAATATGCAGCAAAGAAGTCACGAAGGACTGATGTAGAAGACCTGACTCCCAACCCCAGAAAACTTCTACAGATTGGGAATGAGCTGAGGAAACTGAATAAGGTGATCAGTGACCTGACACCAGTCAGTGAACTGCCCTTAACCGCCAGACCAAGGTCAAGAAAAGAAAAGAACAAACTGGCTTCCAGGTAAATCTTAGTTAGCACTACTTGGATGAGCAAATTTGGAGACTTCAGGTGTACAAGTAAGACCTAACTAATTTTTTGTCTCAAGAGAACCTGCTTCATCTTCGCATCCCCCATGGCAGGTTTATTACCTGTATCAAAAAGCAGGGCAACTGTGCCTTTTGAGAGCTAGCCTGTCTGCTCCCTAGCTAATGATTTATTTCCATTAGAAGCTGGCATACTTGGCTGCAGGGCAAATGCTTGATGCAGTGAGAAAATGTGAAATGTAATCAACTATAGGTAGCAGCATGCTTTCAGTGAGCCTGATTGAGTAGATGATTTTGTATATCAAAGCTCTGCAAGTATTGGTTAATAGTAAGTTCATGTGGCTAATGGAAACAGATGGTCTTAGTATTATGGAAGTTTTGAAAAATGTTCTAATTCTTCTTGCTATAGGGCTTGTAGACTAAAGAAGAAAGCCCAGTATGAAGCTAACAAAGTAAAACTCTGGGGTCTCAACACAGAATATGGTAAATATGACTCTTCACTTGTTAGTTTTTCTTACATTCGTACTGCAAGGCTCTGATTTGCATCTTCATGTAACCTGGGTCATAACTGGCAGCTTATAGAGAAAGCAATGCTGATGACTGCTTCATAGAGTGAACATAAATTGGGTTACCTGCAGTGTTGAGCTACTTTACAGATAATAATGTAATTGTTTTGTTTGGATTGTCTATGATGTTACAGTAAGTAAGCTATGACATGTTTAACACTTCTTCTAGATGACAGTGTGTGGACAACTGAATATCTCTTTTGTTCCAGACGGAATGTGGTGTAATCCTCACCTATATATTTTTTTTTCCTTTGCAGATAATTTACTATTTGTAATCAACTCTATTAAACAAGAAATTGTTAATCGCGTGCAGTTTCCTAAAGATGATAGAGGAGTCAACATGGAACAAAAATTGAATGTGCTTATTAAAGATACTCTTGGTAAGCGATAAACTTAATGTAGTCGCATGTATATGAAGAGACATGTAATTTATGGAGTGTTAGATCAAGAACTATTTTTGGAATAGAGGAAAAAAAAAAAGAAACACTGCCCATTTATGAGCTTTTTAGGCATTTTAGTTGGTCACTGACCAAAATGTTCATCCTCTTTATACTCAGAGGAACCTGCAAATAAGAGCAATCTTACAATGTGTGTTATTAACTTTCCTTTTAAGGACTACCTGTAGCTGGACAAACATCAGAATTTGTGAACCAAGTTTTAGAGAAGACTGCAGAAGGAGACCCCACTGGTGGCCTTGTAGGGCTACGAATACCAATGTCAAAAGTTTAAGACATCCCTTCGCCCGTCCTCATCGGTCACATTTTACCTGTGTTCTCAAATACTTCATTGTAAATTGCATTCTGGTCTGCACGTCAGCCTAGCATTACCTAAACACTTACAATTAGGTTCCATTGTTTTAAATAACAATGTAGTAAAAGAAATCAAAGCATGATTAAAAAAATGCTTAATAGCATTTTTTTGAGCATAAACCCAATAGTTTGAAAGCTGCTTTAGGCTTAACTACAGAGATTAGGATTCTTTTTAAGTTATCTAGGACCAGCCTGTATCACTTTTGTTTTAGAAGCAAAAACATGTTTTTGCTAGTGAAAATTGTTAGCATATGCCAGACATTGTAGCAGGTTTATGCTCCAAGTAAAATAAGAGGAAGCATTTTTTTTGTAAAGCTGTCAATTTAAGGATTAATTTTTTTTAGAATTATTGAATTTTCTTTGTTATTCTAAAAAAAGAATAAACAGTAAGCTTTCATTGCATCCATTGTACATAGCACACATGCCATTAGAGCTAGTGTGCCATATAAGAATTTAATTTTCTGAGCTTAATATAGTATTTAAATGTCTGTGCAAGTAAGAGAAAAAAAAAAGTATATTCTTTGTGCCTTGTATTTTGGAGGGAGAGCTATCAGTATAAGCTGGTAAAGTTTTTGTATGAAGAAAACCCTGAGGGAAAAACAAGATGTATAGCTGGTAAGATTATAGATTTTAATGTATTTGTTCCAGCTCTTACAATTTTTGAATGTATATAGGAATATGTTGAAAATGTAGATATATGCCACAGAGTCTATGTATTGTATAAAAGATGGCTCTAGAAAACTTAATTTCGGTACTTTGGCCGGAAGAAAACAAATACTTGCACATTAATGCGATTGTTTATTTTTGTACCAAAGACAAATGCAACTGATATGGCGAACTGCCAGTCTAAGTAAAGTTTTGCACAGCTTATATGATACTGTACTGAATGTAAAAACAAAAGAAAAAAAAAGAAAAAAAAATTAAAGGTCAGGGTTAGGGATCTTACTGAACTGTGAATTTTTTTGTTTGGGTCCAATTATCTACAGAAGGAGCATTCATACATAACAATATTATTTTGCTGTTCTTGTAGTACGCTTCCATGGTAGATAAGTTGGTGGCCATCTCGGAGTCTTTAAATCTTTTTTCTCTGCACTTAATGTAGGAGATTTTAATATATTTGGATTTTAGTAAGCTATTGGTAAAATAGTTTTCAACTTTGAGAATTAAAAAAAAATATATTTAGCTTGTTGTAGTATACTTCCACCAAACAACCAAAATAAAATTATTTTTATTGTAATGTGTATATATGTAAAGAGAAAAAAAAAAAGAGCTACAAATATCTAATTCCTTAGTTGCCACTTTTCCAGTTGATGTATTATTATGCATGTGATGTTTCCAAGGATCAACACAGGCTAAAAACAAAACAAAAAAAATTTATAGACTTTTATATTTTTGTACAGGTATTTCAAAACTAGCTTCTTCAAACTTATATGTGACTTATTCTTGTTAATTCAGTAGTTTCTATGATTGGGGAATATTAACACACAGTTCTTATTTGCTCTTCTGCTCATAAGAGTTGGCTTTGTAGTCAGTGTTAAAGTACAGATTAAAAGCTTTAGCCCGTGATGAGCAAGTCCTTTATCTCAAGGCAAGATCATTCTCTGGTTTCATGGACCCCCCCTTTCCTCCCTGTTTTTCTCGCCCTATTTAAAAATGACAGAACACTGTTTACTGAAAATAGAAATACCAAATATTTTCAAATGTAGCTGCTGAAAAAATGCAAAGTCTATGAAGGCTTTCGCCCCGCTCCCTTTGGGGTATTTCTCCATTTCTAGTTTGTCTGTTTGTACTGTGATACCTTTTTGTTTATATGTAGATTATTTTTATATCGAGCTTGTACTCTGAGCGCGTCCGAGTGGGTGACGGTGCAGCGAGGGTGCCAGGCAGGGCCGGCCTGCGCGCGGCTGCGGCCGTCCCAGCGGCCTGCAGAGCCCACGAGGGAGGAGGAGGCCAAAATACCACTACTGAGCTGCACAGAAAGGTTGGCCTGCAGGAGACTGGACAAATACCCAGGGCAATTTAGGCACAACTTGGAAAATCCACTTCAGACATGCAAAATCCGAGTGGAATTTGGGCGTTTTTGTTGTTGTTCTTGGAGTGAGGTGAGAGTTGGCTGCTCCTCTCCAGAGGAGGTCAGATGTGTTGCGCTCGTAGGCGCTGCTGCTGCCGCAGCGATTCCAGAAGAGCAAAGAGCCCGTAAGGCCTCAGCAAGGGACGTCTCTGCTGAGGCTGAGGCCGTGTCTGTCCCGAGCTTTGAGCACCGTTGCTCCTTTCTTACGAATGGTGGCAGCACCCTGCTCACATAAGAGAGGTCCTTATGTTATATCAAAACCAGGCAGACAAGGCAGCTTTTCTAAATGTTACGAAAGCAGTTTTGCAATCAGGTAAAAACTTTTGTGACAAATTAAACTGACAAAGTATTAAAAAGCCCCCTTTTTACTGCTCGGAATACTGAGCAAATATAACTTTATAGCTTTTTCTTTTTGTCTGAAAACCAGAATATGATTTTGGTCTAGCATTTCAAGGTAGACTTTGAACCTTTAGTGAATTCCATACCTTGCATTTCAGTGTTTTCTATGTATTATTTTAAGTTAAAGCTTTTAAATAGTTGAGCTTTTTAATGTTGACACTTTATTTTGTACCTATTTATATGTATGTATATCTTAGAAAAGCACTTTGTTAAAAAGAAAAAAAAAAAGAAACTGCGTTTTATATGATTCCTGCCACTTGCTGCTAACTCTGGGCTGGTCAGAATGCTGCAGCGATACTTGATATAAATAAAACCTGGCAGTAAAATGTAGAGTAAAGATAAGACCTTTTGCTGGTTTAACTTTATCATAAAGGTGACATAGGCAAGCTGTGCAGCTTTACATTTTAACCAGGGGACTCTGTGGCATTTAAACCGTCTAGAAATGGTTGTACTTTAATGCCAGTAACAATCTGCTTCCTCTAGTGTCATTAAAATATATACATTTAGTGTATACTTATCACAAACAAAAATCTTATAAGGGTATAAAAACAGCAAATGTACATGTTCTGTTTTTGGCAATTGTGGCATGCATTTTGGATGATCTTTAGAGAAGACCATTTTCTAAAGATTTTCAGTGTTCATACATGGTCTGTGGATCTTAATGAAGTCCTGGATTTTTTGTTTGTTTTTGAGTGTAGGCATTGTGAATACTCACTTTTAATCCTATATCCAAAAACAATTACACGTTTTTGATTTAATACAAACAAAAGCTCTTCCTTTTTCTGATACACTGGATTCTCTAGAGTTTGTTTCCATATTAAAAGCATGCTGTCCTAACTGCTCTTGTCGAGATCTCGTCAGTCTGAATTAGGTGCCACACTTTTTCAATCGATGGACTGCTTGTTCTACTGTACCATGTATGATTCTTGTCCTTTCCTATTTCCTTCATGATGGATTATGATGTGGCTTTATATTGTGCCTTACTTGTACATCTAGAACTAAATGTTTCTCATTCCCCTTGAACTCTTCGACCCTAACCCTTCTGAAAGCAAATCAGAACTGATAAAAGCATCCTGAAGAAAGTTTGGATGGATTTGATTTCAGTTCTTCTCAATAGTAGTTATTTTGTATTTATATGGAAGACCAGTTTTTGAATGGCCTTGCAAAACCTGGGGGTGCTCGTGGAGGGTGTTTTTAAGCCCTAAACCCCTTTTGCTAACACTTTCACTTCGTGATTCATTGAACACATTTGCTGATACTTGTTGAGTACCTTTTTGGATGAAAGTGAGTTAGTTGTGACTAAAGCTCTGTTTAGGTATGAGTGGGCTGGATTTTCTTATCGTTTAAATCATTGTGATTTAATGAAGCTGCATTACTGTAAAGCTGATGTGAGAGTCAGGTTGTGATGTGTTCATTTCCTAATTTTTACATAGAGCAGATTTTTTTCATACTGAGAAAAGTGGGCCAGGAAAAACTTAAAAAAAAATCTAGACTGAGTGAAGGGTCTTTTAACTAACTTAAAAGGAAGCAGGTGCTTCTGAACTACAGTGATGTCAATCTGGATTTTGTTTGAAAAACAAGATGCCTCCCCTAAAACAATTATCCAGTACTTGCCTTCATTAATAAAACAGCTTATTCACAAAATGTAAAGAATGGATGTGCTTTTCTTTTCCATAAATCACTTAGACGTAGCTATTTTTTTAAAGCTGCAAAAGGCTTTATCAGGAGAATTTCAAAGGGTTGTATACAAGTTGCCTTCAGCAGAAATAGCAAATGCAAATCTACTCCTCAAACGTGCTTGCTAGTCTTCCTGAAACTCTGTTGAGGCATAACTCAATTATGTGACGTGAATGTTAGGATCTGTATTTGGCCTTGAGACCTGAATTGTGAGAATGCATCTAATCATGGTTTGACTTTATTTTTAAGTTAGAGTCTTCAGTTGGAATCGTCGAGTTCAGTGTGCTGCTAGCCGTGGTCTTGGCTCGTTGACACAGGCGCGCGGAGCTGAGGTTTATTTTGTTTACCCCAGGGATGGTGTGAAGTACATTTCAAACAGTTACGGCTTCGGTGACTGCTTCTCCTTGTAACTGTACTAAGGGCATTAGTATGTTAAGAAAACACCACTTCTGAATATCTGCTAATATAAATTGGGGTTCTTAAATGTCGTGAATACAAAATGGCATTCTAGGTTGTATCTTCTTCACAGCATACAAAAATGTCTCTATCCTTCTCTGATTTACATTTCAGCATATGCCACGTTTTTACCCCCAATGCTTCTAGCATGGTAAAAAGGTGTGTGCGCACTGAATTAATAATCCTCAGCCTTTTAGACATTCACAAACTTCCACAAGAGCAAATCCTGACCAAGCATTTATTGTTTTTCTAATGAGCAGCGGAGCTAAAAGTGAAGCAAGACCTAGCAACACTTTTTAAAAATCATTTAAATAATAGAGTAAAATCTTTAGATAATGTGGTTTTTTTTCTTCATTTAAGTATATTTGATACTGAATTAACCCAAATTTAGGTAAGTCAACTGGCTACAGTAAGAAAAACTTTTGGATTGGTTTTGGGACTAACAAAAGCAGCTCGACAAAGTCTTCTGGTTAAAAAAACAAGATCTAGTCTGAATGAGCTATCCTAGAATATTTCATCTAAGTAAAATTTCTCATTGCTCAGTATTGTGGTTGAGTGAACTCTAAGGCTGATGGCACATGCTGACATCGGTGGCTGAAAGGCAAGGGGGGGGGAAAAAAGGCATTTTAAACAAAACATGGCAGCCTGCTCTGCCTCTGCTTGGAGTCATGATTGTAATGCTGTCCTGGATATTCTGTAATCAACTTCCAACTGGAGCTCAGAAAAACGTACCGAAAGTCTTTTCTCTGTTAGCAAATAAATTTACCTTGTTAAAAGCATGATCTGTTAAAGAGTTGCAATGTTTAATGTTGGTTAATAGTCATGCAGCTTTTCTTCTTCCTTTCTTTTTTTTTTTCCAAAAAGAGGCACAATTTAACTATTGACTTTGTTTACTCTGTCACCCTTGATCCCTAGCACTTCTACAAATTCATCAATGTATGCAACATCCTTTGTAATTTAAAATAAAAATCGTGGAGGAAAACAGAACGGTCTCAGTGATTGTACGCGTGGTCTTGCATGGCGGGGAGCTCTCCCACCTGCAGGGCCGCGGGGCTCTGCGTGCGCCGGCATCGCGCACCTGGGTGTAGGCGCAGGTTTCCTCCCCAGAATGCTGGCCCAGCAGCGCGGGAACATGCAGTAATGACTGTGCTTGGCCTTTGGTAAGAAAACCACTTTTTTTATTATTATTTTTCCCTCCCAGCTCGTAGCAATGGCCAGTGCACACAGCCGCTGCCTGAGTGTTGGAGCCTGCGCTGAAACCCACCAGGTCCGTTTAGAGGCTTCCAGCAGCGGCTGCCAACGTGGTCTCCAGCGCGAGCCCAGGGCCAGAGCAGGGCAACGCGGGGCAAAATGGAGGGTGTTTGCCGACAGAAAGACCCACACGCGCCCTCCATTTTGCTTGCACTGTGAAAGGGAACATGAAGGAAGAATTTATTAAGCGGTGTTAGCAATCTAATCACTAGTGCTGAGAAGGCAGGGGGGGAAAAAAATCACGCTCCACAGCATCGCAGTTCTGAAAGGTCCCGGCGCGGCAGCCGAGCCATTTAGCTACAGGCGCCATTTTAGCCCTGGGCCACTACTCCTCTCAGTCCCCGTGTGGGGCTGGATCCGCCACCCGGCCCCCGCGCGGGGCGAG